GTGTTCGAGCACTTCTTATTATCTGAGCCCAACCTTCGGGTGAATAAACCGGAACATATTTTGATTTCTGTTCGATTTTCGAGTGGAGTGAATCACACTCCATCTCGGTATGTCCCGATTCGAAAAACTTGTGATGAATAATTTTTAAATTAGTGTGATCCGTAAGAAGTTTCAAGCACATAGTAGCAAAATGCGAATTTTTTTGTTGCCCGCCACATCCGTCCGACATCATTCGAACCTCAGTAATATTTGGTTGATTGATAATGTAATTATAAATACACGAGGATATTTCGTTTGACCCCCTTTTTCCTTGGGTTTCATCCCAAAGGTAACAGATTCCATCCTGATTTCCTAAGTTGTAGATAGTCAGGTTATAAATAGCCAATTTTCGAAGGTAAAATATTTGTCCTGTTGGACCCTTTGGAGTCGTAAGCACTGCTTCGAGGTCAAAGTTAAATGACAGTACCTCTGAATTATTCTTTGCAATTTCTTTGTCTTCGTCTCGAGCCTCACGAGCTAATTGTTTCCTTAGCATATGTTCGTTATGAGCCTGTTCGTGTGTGTTTTTTTTTCCTCTTCTGTCATATTCGTATATTTTAAGCACTTTTTGCACTGGTCCTTTTTGGGTTTATGGAACCCCAAATTATAACTTCTAAACATTCGTCGATACTTCTCGAAAGAAACTGGACGGACATTTAATTCTGAGCACTTTGATTTGTACAATTTGTGCATAATAGAGACGTTTAGTGAAGAATCCAAGTACTTTTTGGTGCTAGAGGCCCTACAATAATGGGACTCCACGGCTGGAAATGAAAGAATGTGCTCACGAATCCGCAGTTCATCATTATCTTTCAATTTGTTGTGTGGGACATGTTTTCCACGTTTTTCTTTTTCAACTATGCCACTAGAAGAAAGTTTTTCCACAGCTCCGCGCATAAATGCATCTGTCACATTGAGTGTAGCCATAAAAAAGGCCCGGCATACTTGTCTTTTTTCCCCGTTGACGGTAAACGAGTAACTCATGGTAAACGTTCTTCGTGAATTTTCAATGTTTCTAGTCACTCTCTTTTTCTTTTGTTTGTCAATATGACTATTTAAGAAAATTCGCTGATCATCTACCGAAATCATATTTTCATGAAATTCACTGTAAATTTTGCGTCGGTTTTCCTCGTTGACAAAAGTGTCACATTTGTGGTTTGCTTTATCAGAACACGGGGATGGTAACATGGGACGTGCTGGTCTCTCTTTATTTCTAGAACAAACATAAGACTCTCCTTTTAATCTTTTTTGTTTCCTTATGTTTTTCTTCCAAGCGTTTATGTTTTTCTTCTTCCTCTTAGGGCCCTCGCCTTAAAAGAAAGAAAAATAGCTTTAGAATAATTGTATGTTTGCGTCATACCTTTCTAAATAACTTACCTAATTTATTTTCTTTCAATTCATTTTGATCCTCTGATTCTGATGTTGTATCGCTAGAGCTCGAACAAGTAGAGCAGGAAGAACTGCTACTAGCTGAGTCCTCTTCTGGATTATAGTTATCCGAGTCAGAAAAATTACTCTTTGTCGCTAGTTCGTTATCGAACGTCGGTCCCTTACTGGAGGTGCCCGAAATCTTTGCTAAAGATTGTGCTAAAACAAATTCTATGTTGTATCTATCAGTAATGTAAAATTTTATGACAAAGCAGTACCTTCTAGTTGGTTCTCTGAAACCGTTGGACACAGTATTCCTTTATTATTTAGTATAGAAGCAGAAACGTTTGATGTTCCGGGTCCATTTTTTTGTTTGGTGTCGCATTCGTCAATAATTTTCTTTGGGATCTAATAGAAAAAAACCTACATTAGTAAAACCAATGTAGCCTTTTAAATACTGACAAAAATATTGATCATGAATTAGTTTATAGTTAAACAAGTTGCCATATCGACGGCTAAAGTGCAGTACCTCGTATATATTTTTGGAAAATTTAGCAGAAAATGCAAAAAACGCTTTTTTACGCATTACATTTCTTTTGCGACCGAAATTTTAAAAAACTATTTTTTTGTGCGACTGCCCTCAAAAAAATGTAGTTTTTGGGCTATATGCATTTTTTTTAAATTATACGATATACTGCACTCTAGCCATCGAAATGCTTATTCCTATCAGTCAATCTCTAAAATGTTATTTCTATAATAGCATATTAACATCTACCTACCTCCTGGTCATGGTGTTTTGGTGAATCCAGACGTGACAGTCTAAAGTTATCAAATATTTTAGCTGTGTGTGCGTTCATTTTTACACACAAAACTATGAAATATTTAGTAGAAAAAACACAACGAATGTAAAACAAATGCAAAAGCTACACCGCCACAAACACGAAAGTGTCACTTTCGCGATATGCACGTCGCAGATTAACTCAATCACTACACTGCCACAAACACGAATTGGTACATTCGCGATGCACGCGTTGCAAGTAAACAATGCAGACTGACTTCCGTGAAAGTGCACATCTCCTCCCCACCATCTTTTAGCCTTTAATCACATTCGTGGTCTTGGCAGAGTAAAGCAATGACTGATATAATATTAGTGGTGTACTTAGGTGAAAAATGAAAATTTTGCACATTCGTGGGTGTGGCATTGCACCGACGATATATAGATTATTTTAGCCCATTTGCTGAGATGTGGAGAACAGCGCCTCAAATAGTTTATTTTAAAAGATATGCTTTTGATCACGTTATTAGCATGTTCCTTAAATTGTAAATTTGTATCAACCATAACCCCTAGATATTTAAATTTTTCAACTCTCTGAAACTTTATTCCATCAACAGAAACACACTGTGATGCTACATTTAATTTTGTTAATTTTCAGTACCCCTAACTAACATCCACTTTGTCTTTTCATAATTTATTTTCAACGAGTTTCCGTTACAATAATCATATATTTTACTTATAGAACTATTAATTTCTTTAAAACAAGTTTCAGTGTTTTCATGGGTAAAATATATCAGTGTATCATCTGCAAATAAGTGTATTGAGCATCTTTCGACTACACCAGCAATGTCATTAATATAAATTAAAAACAGTAGCAGACCTAGAACACTACCCCGTGGCAACCCCCCCCCCCCCATGTTATTCTCTATAGTATCTGAAACACAATTATTTACCTTAACCTTCCGTTTCCTATTTTCCATTTAATGACCCAACCAGTCCAGTGCACAACCCCCCAAACATATAGCTCTTAATTTCATTAATAATCTACCCCTATTAATAGTCTCAAATGCCATCTGTAAATCTAAAAATACCGCCAGTGTAACCAAATTATTTTCAATTGATAACTTCCAGTCATGCAAAACCAACTGTAAAGCAGTTTCACAGTTGTGTTTACTATGGAATCCTGATTGCACATTACTTATTAAACTGTTCCCCTCTAATCAATAATTTGAAGATATATTACTTTTTCTATTAGTTTTCCAACAGCACTGATCAAATTTATCGGTCTTAAATGGGTAAGGCTTACTTATTGTAGCAATCTTAATATCGTCCGGAACTAAGCTTGTTTCAATAGAAACATTTATAATATGTAATAGAGGTTGGGATAAACTCTCAAAACATTCTTTTAATAAAATTGTAGATATTTCGTCTGGACTATTTTTATTTGACATTGAAAATAATATTTCTTTTAATTCATTATAATTAATTATAATTATATTTTTAGTTCCACTTTAATAAAATATTAATAGATTTGTTAGAATTTTAATAACAATGGCAACACCAAGCCTACACATGTTACAAAATATACCCTCAGACAACATATGGCTTAGCTTGAATGACCAATAAAATATCATTCTTTCAATAATAGTTGTTTTTGTGATGCCATTCTCTACAATTTATGTCCTAAACATGATTTCTCTAAAAATAGATAATGTAGAAATTGAATTTTTCAGTATTTTTGTTGGTAATAAAGATATGAAAAATGTTTATCATTTATACTCTAAACACTTCTTGATTTTATGGGCCCTGCCCAATATATTTGATAACTTTACAGGAAAGCAGGGTTCGAAAATATCATATTTATATAAATATCATATCACATGATATAATATCTGATATATATCCGATATATATCATTTTTAAAATTTAAAAAACAGTACTGTTTCTTGCACAAGCTATATTTTAAATTTTAACATTAACATACTAACAAAAACCTATATTCTAAACAACAAAACTGTTTATTCTAACACAAGTTAAGAAGAAAAAACAAAAATAATTAATAAAATAAACCGATTTTAACATTATTTTGTTAACATTAATATTTTAACACAAACACATATAAATTGCTAGTTATTATACTTTTATACAGGGGCGTATTGAGACATTTTCAGATGTTCAGAATGGTAGAAAACATTTTTAATTTAATAAATAAAATTATCGAATATATTCGGATATATATCAAGGTATAAATATCATTATATATATATATCCTCCGAACCCTGCAGGAAAGTCATGTGTTGGACATAATTTTATTTAAATGATTACACGAAATGCAATTCTTTTTACGTTTAATATACCTATAATTTATTTTCATGGGAGAAATTGAGGCATGACCCATAGTCTGAAAACTGAAACCTGGAGCTTGAAGGCTGAAACATGGAGACTTCGGGCCAAACCTGGAGAGGTGGCAATCCTAATTTAATAAAATGTAATCATAACATAACTCACTTAAATCTGCTCCAAATTTTAATAATGTAGGTAGGTACCTAATAATTAAAGTTTGTAGAAATGTAACAATAATTCATAGTGCATACAGAAACATTCTTTATTATGCACCTGGGTAGAAAATCATTGATATCCACCATGATACCCCTATTATTTTAAACAATTTTTTCTCTTTACTTTCATTAAAAAAATATTCAATGTTCTCTCAATTAACAATACCATTTAATGCCGACCTTGTCTCTAAGTATTGTTAAATCATGTGAGAGATTACATATTTTACTTCTAGCAATAAATTAACTCCCAAACAACTTACCCATTTAAAAACAGGAGCCCAAAAAAATACCGTTTTTGGTCCTAAAAAATATAATAAAAATAATTTTAATATTAAATAAAAAATTATAAGTACAATACCAGCGGGATGTTTCCATAATGGTTGTAATTTGGCTGGAACAATTTTATCCAAAGCAGACATAGATGTTTTATAAAGTAAAGACATAATGAAAACAAAAAAATTATTTGATTTTTGAGTGAAAAATATTGGAAGAGGTCACTTGCAAGGTTATTTTTTTTATCCAATATAAAAATAATGTCAAAGTGCAATATTTTTATAATTTTTTGTGTATAGTGTTATGTTATGAAGATAGCTATTTAATTAAATTTACTCTTACGGTTACGTTTTACGATTTTTACAAGTTTACCGAATTCGTCAACAAGAGGCGAGTTCGGTCAGTCAGGGGCTGGAGCGGGACAAATTTTAGGGTGCTTTTAAATGACATTTAAGCGTGTTAAACTGTCACTAATCGGACTAAACCGAACGCTAAAAGAGTCGTTTGGAGTTAAAAGTGTTAAAGGAGTTAAAGGAACGTGGCAAACCAATGAACTGGAGTGGGGTAGAAAGCCAATGTGCATATTGTATCAATAGAACAAGATGCGACTCTATGGGCGCAGCCATTTTTATTTCTCATCTCACTCAGGAGTATTTATAATAACCATTTTCTGTTTCACATTGTTATTGTTCAATCCACAAGCTGGTGGATCAGACAATAACAAAGTGAAATAGAAAATGGTTGTTATAAATACTCCCGAGTGAGATGAAAAATAACCTGTCTTCGCCCATAGAGTCGCATCTCAAGCCTATTGACAAGCATTCTACCCCACTCCAGTTCATTGTTTACGACTTACGTTGACTTGACACATCATTTAATCATGACCAATGATATAACAGTAATGGAACTTTGGAAGTCTCTTGGTTCTTAGATAATATATGTACAGATAGGCTACCACTTCATAAATCTATTCAATGTTGATGTCGCTTTAAATGTGAAAATAGTGACTGCAAATACAAAATAATGTTTTATAAAAGATAGGTACCTACGTTTTTATTGAACTGAAAATAAAATACATTATTGTCAAAAATGTCAAAAATTGTAATGCAAAAAATATTTTATTGCTTCTAAACAATATCACTTTAATCTTCGTTTAGTAATTTAAACTTCGTTTAAAACAACGGTGGAATCGGCCCTAAATATGTTGTTACCTCATCAAATGAATCATCTAAGTCGTTATCATATAAGAAATTTAAAAGTGATAGACCAGAAAAATTTCTGAAATCTAGTCTTTCATCATATAACACCGTTAGCTCAGTTTTAAGTTTACATTTGTTTAAATAGGAATAGCGATTTACGGCCAAAGTAAGTTTAGATTCTGGAAAGTTTTTTTCGAAAAGATTACATTTTAACAATTCTGCAATATCGACGTAGTCCGTATTTTCAAACCTGTCCTTTGCTTGTGTAGAAAGAATATCACAAACTTCTATTGCATCGCGGATTTTGGAGTCTTCGTTTCTTCTCCGCGCTGTGGAGCACACACTCGAGTCTTCTGAAACTTCTTTTAAAATATCCTCTTCTTCTCCTCGCACTTTCTCGATGATACTCAAAAATATGTCTACATTTTTTTTTATTGTACAGCAACATGAATCCCGCGACTGAAATTGATTGAATAAAATATCGATGTGTGGCATTAGACGATGGAAAAAGTTTAACCAAAAATTAAAATCAAAGTCTTCCAAGAGTCGTAGACAGCCACTCGCTTTTCTTACAGTTTCAACGGAAGAAGAATTCTGGAGTTCTTCAAAACATTCGATCAGTTTTTGACGATTTTGAAAAACAACATCTACAGCCCTTGATTGGTAATTCCATCGAGTTGTACAAACAGATGGTATTCTACGAGCAACGGATTCATCTAATGCTGATAGACGTGCGGGGAATTTGAAAAAAATATTGGAATAGCAGACAAATTTGCAAAAACTACTTTGGCTGATTTATTGCTTGATGCACTCTGAGACATAATTAAGTTTAGTTGATATGCGTAACAATGAGTATAGTATGCATTGGCAAACTTGCTTCTGACTTTTGCTTGTACCCCATTGATTTTTCCAGACATTACAGCTGCTCCGTCGTAACTTTGGGAAATAACTTTTTGTACGTTGGTTTTAACCATGACATTTAAAGCGTCTATAACTACCTGAGATATAGCCTCTGCGTCCTGTCCACACGGATTGACAAATGACCAGAATCTCTCATCAATTTTTCCTTTGTAAAAATACCTCACGACAATGCAAGTCTGTGTTTTGCCGGAAATGTCGGTGGTGTCGTCTGCTATAATAGAAATGAACTTGGAGACATGAATTTGTTGTAGTATCTCATCTTGACAGACCTCTAACATACAGTCTAAAAGTTCATTCTGTATTGTTTTCGAATGTCCTTTGAACGCACTTCCACTGCTAAAATGATCTTTTATCGCCGAATCGACACTGTCCATAAGATCCAGAAGACCTCTGAAAACGCCTGGATTTATAGTCTTCTTTTTCGTCGGGCCCACGTAGAGCTAATTCGAATGCACCACAAAACTTAATGAAATCGATTATTTTGCTTTAAGGCTGTATGTCACGATACTAAATTAAGTACTAAATTTAGCACTAAATTAAGTTATTAATTTAGTACTAAATTTAGAACTAAAAATTTTTTTTTCCGTTTGCAACGATACCAATTTTTAGTACTAAATTTACTATAGGCGCACGCGCATTGACGTATTAATACGTAAAATTAACAGAGAAATGAAATATTATGTGTAAAACAGACAAGTAAATGGTGTTTTTATTATCAATTTGACACTAGTTGACTTGACAACAACCAAATACAGCATAAAAACCACGAAAAAAAACACAATAAAACCTACAAAATCAAACAAGCGAACTTTATTCAAGGCGATAATGTAAAATTGTCGCTAATTAAAAATAAAAGGGTACAGAAAATACCGTCGTGTCAACTTTTTCTATGAAAAACTTCTGCGCAACATTTCGGCGCACTTTTAGTACTTAATTAATGACTTTTTTTAGCACTAAATTTAGTACTAAATTTGCTGTTTGCAACGTGAATTTTTTTAGTACTTAAAAAATGCATTAATTTAGTTCTAAATTTAGTACTTAATTTAGTATCGTGACATACAGCCTTAAAGGCTGTATGTCACGATACTAAATTAAGTACTAAATTTAGCACTAAATTAAGTCATTAATTTAGTACTAAATTTAGAACTAAAAATATTTTTTTTCCGTTTGCAACGATACCAATTTTTAGTACTAAATTTACTATGGGCGCACGCGCATTGACGTATTAATACGTGAAATTAGCAGAGAAATGAAATATTCTGTGTAAAACAGACAAGTGAAGTAAATGGTGTTTTTATTATCAATTTGATACTAGTTGACTTGACAACCAAATACAGCATAAAAACCACGGAAAAACACAATAAAACCTACAAAATCAAACAGGCGAACTTTATTCAAGGCGATAATGTGAAATTGTCGCTAATTAAAAATAAAAGGGTACAGAAAATACCGTCGTGTCAACTTTTTCTATGAAAAACTTCTGCGCAACATTTCGGCGCACTTTTAGTACTAAATTTAGTAGAAAATAGAACAAGATCTAATTAATTAATGACTTTTTTTAGTACTAAATTTAGTACTAAATTTGCTGTTTGCAACGTGAATTTTTTTAGTACTTAAAAAATGCATTAATTTAGTTCTAAATTTAGTACTTAATTCAGTATCGTGACATACAGCCTTAATATATACCTATTTTTCTCAACATTCTCATTATGCTTTTGAATTGACATTCGGTAAGCACTGTCAAGTTGAGTAGCAATATTCTTTTTATACCTATATTCGCTAAATTTTAAACATTAATTAGGTGTTTTATTTTGAGAATGTCTTTTAATTAAATTCCATGACATTTTTACATTTTAATCTCCGTTTAACACAACGGTGGAATCGGCTCTAAGTGTCCCAAATCCGTTACACCTAATTTGCTCCAGGAATTTTCACCGCCAAACAAGCATGGAAAGCAAAACAGTGCATTTGTTATTTCACATCCACAAATCCACTTATTTTCTTCACAAGTTTTTACGTGAAATTGACGCTTGTTAAGTAGAAATTTTGCTTTTCGCATCCTGTGTTATTTTAAGGGTTGGAGTAGGTCGACCAAGTTCTTTAACTCTGATTTTATCCTCCAAAGAAAAACGCACAAATGGATTCGCCAATATGAAACCTGATTCATTTTACACGAAATATCAGAAAAACTATTTGCGACAACTAATAAGTAAATCAAGCTAAACTAGCGCAAACGGTCTCGCTACTATAGAAATTCAATTTCTGTTGATATGACATGCAGATTATAAAATCGCCATGCATTACGGTCTTGATGATGATGGGTGAGGTTTTCCTCACCTGTAAGTCAAATGGCACTATCAATCATCTTTAGGGGCGTTTGATTTGAAACTCGATCGAGCGAGCGTCGAGGAGACCGAGAAGTGATGACGTCACAATAGAGCATTGAATCAAATCAAATAAAACAGAGTAAAAAACATAACCTCGCTTTTTTGTGATTCTTGTTTCTGGTTTGTATGTTAAAATCTCCGAGGTTAAAATAGTGAGCAAAAAGTAAAGAAAATTGAAAAACTTTTAATAATAAGGGGTAATGGCCCTGAAATGAAGCATTTACCACAAATGCCCGCTTCGCTCTCATACTCCATGACTGTGATTACTGGTGATTAGATCTGGACAGAAAAAATGTATTTTCAAAACACACATTTTGTGTTTTTTTATGATGAATAATTTTAGCTATAAGACAAAAGCGGCTAAGTAATTTGTTGACTTCTTGTCTGGTCTTTAATTTTGAGATTCAAATTTGTTTGTAAGTTAATTAAAAAGAGATAGGTAGAGACAAAGACAAATTTCTCCCTCTTCTCAATCTTTCTGCTCTGAGAACATCGAGCTCGCTCTATGTTCTCGCTCCAAAGCGAAACAAACACTTTAGGGATCTCTCGGAGTGTCAATTCAAACACTTTTAAAGCGCTCGGAGATCTCCGATGATCAAATCAAACGCACCATAAATGTCGCCCCGGAGCGCCACGGGAAATAATAATAGCCCTCCCTTTCCCCGCACAAGCTCAGCTTTTGGGGTTAAAATTTACTCGTAAGGGGATGAATT